CTGCAGTAAACCATTTACTTATGAATTTAATCTTATATTTGCGGGTGCGCTGCGATCGAAAGACTGAGTGTGCGTTGAGTTAGAATTCGCAAAGCTGATTATTTCGTGCTTCAGACAGTTGTCTATGCGCCGGCATTGAAAGTGCGTGATCTAAAGAAGTGTCGGAATCATCAATTAAGCTCAAAAAGTTGCGTGCCACTTAAAAATCAGCGAATATTATTTGACGCGCAAAATAATAATTGCGTGTGCAAGATAACAATTCATAGGAATTCATAGAAGTTTATCATTATTACTTTTTTAAATCAAATTAAAAATTATTATTTAAATTAACACTGCACGGTTGTAAATTGTCGGTCGTTATGTATCTTTGCGATTTAATCTTTAGCGCTTTAATAATTTCGATCGTTCGTTTCTCAATGTCAATAGACATTCAGTCGGAGAAAAGAACATTAATTATGCAACTCTCGCCGAAACCATTGACAGACCTAGAAGATATTCCGGATAGGTGGAAAATAGTACAGTCGGAATTTAGAGTGCCGCAAATAGAGATCTATTTGATGAAAGATTTATTAAAAGACTATGTCTCGCCGAACGAAGACTCCACGTTCAGCAAGGAGTACAAATACTCGAATAAAGATTACAAGTATGTATAAAACAAAAAAGGATCCTCTGTGGATCCTCTATTAAGGTATGCACAAGATCAACGTGCGAAAAAAACAGCTTTGATTTCTGTTCACTTTACTGGAATCAAAATTTATCATGGTGTGATGATTTCACATACTCAATAGTATCAAAAGACTTGCCAGAGTTTTTTTTATATATGTGTTGAATAAAACGATAAGGAAAATATATCTAAAGGCGTGCTTGGTATAGTTCGGGATCAATCGAGCTAATTCAGAATTACGTCGTAAACTGCTTCAACAAAAAGTTCAAGAATCTTTTGGCGAATTATTTCTAAAAATTAGCTCTAAGAGTTTTCATGATTGTAAATATATTTTAATATTCGCGACATGTAAGTATTTTCCGAAATAATGCGCATTTGCATATTTAATCTGTAAGTAATATTTCAACAGAACTATTTCAGAACTACATCCGAATATTTCTCTTTTTAAGTGCTTGATATATAAATATAAAATTAAAAAATAAATAGGTTTTATACAATATTAAATTAATTAATAAAAAATTAAAATATCGCATAAAAACGCTGCTAATATTGCGATAATCAACACGGTCTTTGTCACAAATCGATTAGCGCCGCAGAAAAGGTGACATCGACGACAGACGAAAAGAAAGTTCCACAAATCGGGAATGCAAAAGAAAATAAGAAAGAAAACAGTGATGCTCAGGATAATATCGTGATGCCTGATAGGATCATCCCACAGATTGGATCCAGGAATATTATCGTAGTACCCGAATACTGTCCGAAAGGACAAAGAAAGGATAGCAAAGGACGCTGTAGAGTTGTCATGTAAGTTAATTTTTTCTTTTTCTCATAATTCTTCTTTGCTATTAAAATTCAGTATTAATTATTTTCAAGAAGATTTGTTCGTGAAATAATTTTTCATTCTTACAACTTTAATATTGTTTTCTATTTTATTCTGCTAAAAAAGAAATTATTTCTTATTTCAAATTGATTAAAGTAATTATTAGTAACATTATAGTCAAAAGTGTTACGATACGCTAATATAATTATCATATAACTTTTAATGGAATATATAATTAACAAATTTTCCTCGTTCGTTCATATCTATGCAGGATGATTCAAAACAACCTGATTGAGAGATTTCTAAGATAATTTCTCTTTTAGCAAAATTTTGTCCGAGGCTTAGTTTTTGAGTTATAATTGAAAATAGTTCACTACTTATTATAACTATTTTTAAGTTATAATTATTATAATTCAAAAACTAAGCTTCAGACAAAATTTTGTTGAAAAAATCATCTTAGAAAACTTAAGAATATGACATTTCAAGATCATATTCTTTAGGTTGTTTTGGATCACTGTATCTATTTAGTACTTTAATAATTAAATATATTTTTAAGATGTTTTTCTTCTGTTATAGAACAAAATAGAAACTCTCTCTCTCTTTAAAAAAGAGAAACAGAAAAAGAAACAAGGAAGAATACCTAAATAATTGGGTCACTCCATTTATTGTATCGATTTTATAGAATCCTAAAAAATTGAGGATGTATAAAATTACTGTGTTTTATTAATTAAACGCTAAAAATAAAATGTGCATTTTATGTGGTTGTACTATAAGTATATATTTAGCTATTTAGATCTTAAAATCAGCAGCTACTTATGTATTACGTTTCTTTTATTGCTACTTATATTTATATTGTCGCTTGTTGTTTCAGTAATTTGTGTGTATGTATAGGATGCACAGTATAAAAAAGTTTTTATTTTAATTTAAACCCGCTGACTATTTTATTTAAAAATCTCGTGAAATCTCGTTGAAAAATTTATTTCAAGATTTACGTCAAGAAGGATAACATATGCGAGTTAGGTGATATAATATAATAAGAATTACAAAGGATGAACATATTTGTAGCCGAAGCCAATAAGATTGATGCGAACAGACAATCCAAGTTGAATATTATTTGTGTGTACATAATAAGCCGATTGCTTCTCATTATCACAGTGTTGTTCAGAAAACATAGACGTTAGGAAGCTTCGAATTGGTAAGATGAATAAGTGATGTTATAGTGTTAATAATTTTTATATTAAATCGGTTAAATAAAGTTTTGGTATTAATTAATGTCGAGAGTTTTAGAAAATTAAATATTTTAATGTTGTTTGATAAAATATTGCACTCATTACTGACAGAGCAAAATATTCTATCAAATTTCTTTAGAATTTTGTACTTTTTTCCGGTGCTCGTCGACATCAAGAATCATTTATGCAGTAACTATCACATATTATTTCATATTAAGTGATGTTATATAATATCATGTTACTTTGTGTATCAGAATAAGATTTGACAAATATTTATTATTAATAAAATCAGTGATGGAACCAGTTCTTTGTTAGAGAGTAGATGTGTTGTTTTATTTTGTGCACAATATTAATTATGGATTATACGTAGCGAATATATTGTGATAAAGATAATTTTCAAATAATTAAAAAAAAAATTATAACCTTAATTTCTTTTAATTTTCAGGAGAAAAAACCATATAAGATCTTACAAAGCACAGTATGATAGAAAAATTTTGGATTTTTATCTATGTATACATCTGGTTATTTTCCGGTAATGGCATAATTGTTTACATCTTGCATAAAAAAATAATTATTAATTATTTTCTTAATGTCATATATTTCGAACGTGAAAAATAATATCTGTATCTTTGTTCAATTATCTTTTGCGTTTCCGTTAAAAAAATTAATTTGTTAATTACTTATTTTTCTTTATAAATAATTTACTAATATAAATTTTGAACTAATAAACTTAATTCAACAAGGAAAAAAAACTTAATAAAAATACATGTTAATTATTTGGCAGCTTTATTCGTAATATAATAATATGAATTTTTTATATCTAGAAAAATAAGTTCTCTAATAATAAAAATTTAACACTTTTAATATTAATTCAAAACAAATTTGTATTATTCACAGACTTAATTTGTTCGTGAAAAATATAATTAGTTATCAATTAAATTTATTTTCCAGGTGAAGAGAGTAGATGCAATAAAAATATTCAATATACTACATCGACTAATAAAACTATAAAAAAAGAGCAAAAAAACAAAAAAAATTCTTATACACGGTTTGAGTTTTACACAATAATCATAGAAACAATGATAGTTATTTTAATACTAATAATAATTGTTATGCTGCTCAAATATTGTTTACGTTATATACGTAAGTTGTATATGTAAGTTGATTCTTTTTAATATCTACTTAATATCTAATTTTATAAGTAATCTACTTCCGCAATTATACATATAAGCAATTTATGAATAATTTGAAATTTAATAAAAAAAAAATTTTTAGCAAAAGTAATGTTAACTTCTTATTATGTAATTTTAATATTAATTAATTTTATTAAATTAGATGGCTAGCTAAATTACAATTATGATTGCTATAAAATAATTTTATAATTAGAAATAAAGCATTGTAAGTTTAGTAGCATTCCAAGAAATTAAGTCCTTATTAACACGTTCATAAAATTATTTTTACGTTCTTGGAAAGAACGAGATAATTTTAAATTATAAATACCCTCTCTCTCTTTCTATTGGCTTTTTCTCCCAAAGTCAAAATAAGTAAATAATCCTTTTTTATGCCATCCATTAACAAATTTTGCCATATTATAGTATTTTTGAGATTAACAGATCATGTACATATAATTTTTTACCCTCAATTAAAATAAGAATAATTGACAATAATTTTGAATGTAGAAATTTTAGAATGAATTATATCATGAATCGTATTGCAATTGAAGGCGTATTTCCTCAGCGCTACAGACGACCCCAAGTAAGGCAGCCTATCTACGGGGAAAACCCGTAATGTAAGTAAAATGGAGTGAAATATACGTGACAGAATAAATAAGGATAATCCAATAACTATTAACATTTTCAATATTTTACGAGCTATTGTACAATAAAAGCTAATTCATTATATAATGCAATCTATTTTTTTTTGGTTAATAGAGCCATTATCAAGCATTAAAAATAATGTTCGAGATTATCGTTTATTGTTCCATACGAAATATTGTGTTGCCACTCATTCGTTGTCAACCGTCTAGAAACTGGCTTAGAATAAATCGTCAAGAATGTTAAAATTTCAACCGTTTATCAAAAATACAGACAAATCAACAAAACAACCGTTCTTGCATGAGATAGTTTTAATCTTAACACACGACAAATTTTAAAGTAACGAACATATTACTTTAAAATGCATAATTTTATTTATTTATGACACTCCTAAAATGAACGGAAAGCCATATTCAATTTGACTGAGAACTTATTGTTAAATTCATCCAGACAGTGTTGTAATAGATTTTGCCCTAAATTATGTGTAAGACTATATATTTTAACAAATTTGCGATGTAATGTAAATAAGAAAAACTGCATGAATCTAACGTCGATTGTTCAACATCGTCAATATGACATTAGGATACAATTTTTATATTTCTATTATTAGTATCATTAAATACTAAATAACTATATTATATTAGCGTGACTATTTAAGCTGCTAATATAGTCATAATTGTTATAATCTCTCAGAGAAATGTAATGTCAAAATTTATAATTTTTTATAATAATAATTAAAAATTTTAATTTCCACTTTAATTTAAACTAATTTAATTATTTTATTAATTCCATATCATATAAATATCTGATAAATTATAAAATAACTAAATTAATTAAGTTTATCTATCATGAAATAGATACAGACATAACGACAAAGTATTAATTTTGATATTATTTTTTCTAATTGCTAAAGTTTTCAAAATAATGTACCTAGTAATTGAAAATTTTGTACAAAATTATCATAAAAAATTACAATAAAAAAATGTTTTAATGACATTGACTAAAAAATGTTAAGTAGTTTTATGTATGTATATAGCACCTATAGTATGTTAAGTCACATAAACATAATTTTTCAGGCAAAGGATCTAAAGCGATTTTTAAGATATTTATAATGTTTTGCAGATTTTTTGTATTCGCAGGTTTAATATCAAACTTCGATATGTTTCAGAAAATGAAGTTGTGTGATTACAGAATATGATTTTAATACTGTTTACTTGGTGAATGTATCATCACATTGTGACTTAACTTTACACACTCAACATTTTCATTGAAAACATTTGCCATGGGAGTATAGAGTCTTGTGATAATAATAACTCAATTTTCGAAAAAATGTGACTTAACATGGTACATCTCTGAGGTGATCATATACAGGGTGTTGCATATACATATTGGACAGTACGACGGGTTGCGCGACATACTTTGCAGGGATAGGCGCGGTTCAGTGGGTAATGACAGCAATTTACAACGCTAACACGCGCAAAAAGTAAAGCGGTAAAGAAAAAAATTTTGTTGTATCATATTTGTTTTTTTTTAACATGTTAACTTTCTAAAATTTAATTTTTCATCTTTAATGTGTTTTAGCTTCTCTAGTAATAATCGCAACGATTATTCAAGTCCGTCATAATTGAAACGCTGTAAACTCAAAATTAGTAAAAATGCGCGCAATCAATTCGATCAATAAGTTATGATGGATACGTATATATGCTGTCATTACCCACTGAACCGCGCCTATCCCTGCAAAATATGCCGCGCAACTCGTCGTACTGCCCAATATGTATATGCAACACTCTGTATATATGTATATTCAAAATATCAAGGCAAATATAAGAACTCCATTATTTTTTAACTGATATTGTATTGCGTTTTTATCTAATAATAATAAAAGAAAGAAACAAGTTACACGTTTTTAAAATTATAACCTATTATATGTAAACAGTTTCGATGACAAACAAAATAAACAAAAGGATGGTTAATAATTCATTAAATTAATTAAGAATCCATTCTTATAAACTAATTAAGAATTCATTACTAATTAAGCACATAAATGACGTATTTAACTCATACAATAAACGAATTGCAGATGTAAATTATGACTGACTAATTAAATTAAATTAATATCGGGTACACGCTGCTATTTTATTGTAATATCTCGAATGAAATTGTCGAATGGAATTCTAATTAATTGTGCGTGCGTGTGTATGTAGCGCTATACACTATTGCAGACACATTAAATAAATAGTGCATGACACTCAAGTTATGATAACTGTTGTGGAAAATCTATAAAAAAATTAATCCATAAAAAAAAATAGATTAATAATATTAGGAAATTTTAACAAATTTTTAGAAATGCACATATTAATTGACGTAATATAAACCAAATGTTTTGCACGCATTTTTTACACGTTCAGCAATTAAATCGCAAAAACGATCACGCGATGCTCGGTTACTTGGTTAGCTCTTTCGAGGTGCTGGTTATCGTGAAAGAAGTTCATCGTCAGGTATATACCGAGTCAATTAATCCGGTTTATATTACGTCAACTCATTGTAAAGTTTATACACTAAAGACGACCTTCTGATTGGAACCGATTGGTAAACCAAGAACGCGCAGATAACATCGATCAACAGAAATCAAAGATAATTTGATTACATGTAAATCTGTTACAAATATATTTGAAATAATGAATTAGTTTTGGATCTCAAGCCTTGTGTGATATTTTTTTAAATATACATATATAAATAAAGTGTCGGATTATTGTATAATATCGAAAAATATATTTAAAAGAATTTCCAAGAAAAAAAACTACCGCTAAAACTATTTTTGCAAATTGCCTCGAAAATCCGGTCAGTCATCAAGTTTATCTGATTGTGAGTAAAATAAATACATCACTAAAACTAAATCAACTAAACTGAATAATGGCCCGTATTCAGAACATGCTTATAACGATGTTAGACTAAACCAAAATCTGATCAATAAAAACGGTAAGATTTATTAGAATCAATAATATTCGAAAGGAGTGTAAAGAGCCAGACAGCAAGTTATTTGTGCGAAGGTTAAAGTGGATTAGTTTTTATCATTATTCCATTTACATTAAAACAAACGTTTCTGCCTGTTATCAGGCCTTCTTCAGTGTATTATATAAGACTAAATAAAATGCAACGCATTACTTAAATAAACAGTATAAAAAGCGAAAAATTTTTTTAATCTATAATTGACAGCAGTATAGTTCAAAATTTAACAACGTTAGGATTGTAGTAGTTGAACTACATTGCTGTTAACTATGGATTAAAAAAATTTTTCGCTTTTTATACTGTTTATTTAAGTAATGCGTTGCGTTTTATTTGGTCTTATATAATACACTGAAGAAGGCCCGATGACAGGCAGAAGCGTTTGTTTTAATGTAAATGGAATAATGATAAAAACTAATCCACTGTAACCTTCGCACGAATAACTTGCTGTCTGGCTCTTTACGCTCCTTTCGAATATTATTGATTTTGATAATCACCAGAGCCTGATACATCTATAAGATTTATTAGGTTTCGATTTATTAGCGCGCCAATATTGTTGTGAGCGCGTTTTAAATACCGATTCTAAATGTATAATGTATACTGCATCAATATACAGTGTCCGATAATTGCTGAATCACTTCTCAGATGCAGGTAGAGCTGGTTAAACCGAGTAAAAAAGTCCTCTATCATTTTTCGATTTTTGTAATAATGAATGAAAACTTAATTTAAAAATATCTACCAATTCGCGCGAGTTTAAGCGCGCGGCGAGAAGAGATAGCCCACTGTTACGTGGTCGTTAGGATGCGAAGATCTGACATTACACACCACTCGTACGTAGCCGTTGTCATTTGTAAAGCGCTCCTCCCAATACTTCGTCGCGCGCTGAGTAACCAAATAACAGTAGGCTGTCTCTTCTCGCCGCGCGCTTAAATTCGCGGAAATTGGCCGATATTTTTAAATTAATTACTCATTAATTATTGCGAAAATTGCAAAATGGTACAGAACTTTTCTACTCGGTTTAACCTGCTCTATCTGCACTCGAGAGATGATTCAGCAATTATCAGACACCCTCTATAAACAAATCTTTATTAATGACCTTGTGTGAAAAAATAAACCTTGACGGAAGAAAAAGTCAATTGAATTACGTATTAAGTATGCATTTGTCAAGGTAAAGTGATAATTTACGATGACTGTGACGATTTAAAATAAAGATGGTAATTAGTTGCAACTTTCGGCCCGATTTCCTGATTGACGCCTACTGTTCCCTCCTTGCCGCTTGCATGCTAGCAACGAGTCACCAAACGCGCTAACAACGTCCGTACCCTGATGGAAATATTTGGCTGAAAGTACTATGAAATCAATGAAAAATAAAATAAAAGTTTTTGAAAAATTACTGAATATATTTCAAAATAAATCATAATTTTCCGTATGAAAATTTAATGTAATACTATGAAATATAAGGAAAGTTAAAATATACTACTGAAAAGTAATAAAAGAGTTTTGAAATAATTATCATTATGAAATTTACTGAATTAAACTGAAAACTGTTACTTTTTAATGAAAAATTGCTGAAATATTTATGAAATTAATTAATGGGGTCAATTGAGAAAAATTTTCAAATACATTTCAACAAAATTTCGTTAAATTTTCAGAAAAATATTTCCATCAGGGTAACTAATAGTAAGATACGTGATACTCAGCCTCAGGAATGTCCATATCACAAATGCAACAAGATAATAAATATGGGACAATGGATTTCCACATCACCTGTGAGGTGGACTATTATTGACGTGTTCTTCAACAATAGTACCTCACAGGTAGAAACCTATATTTATCCTATATTTATTATCTTGTTGCATTTGTGATATGGACATTCCTGAGGCTGAATATCGCGCACCTTAATTACGCGCGTTGTTAGCGCGTTTGACGACTCGTTGCTAGCATGCGAGCGGCAAGGAGGGGGCAGGAAGCGTCCATCAGAAAATCGAGCCGAAAGTTGCAACTAATTTCCATTTCTGATGTATATTATAAAAGAAACAGAGAATTCAAAATTAAAAGGTAAATAATTCTGAAAATTGCAAATTTTATGCACGACGCAGCTTTATATATACAGTAGATGCATATTCAAGTGATGTAACGATGATCTTTGCCATTGTGAGTAAACTTTGAAAAAGAATGCAATTGAAATCAATACTTTGACTGAGTAATTATTATAACTAAATGTTAATAGTTAGCAAAATAAAGGACATTGTCTGGTATAAAAACTCAAACTCCAGCCGCGAGCACGCATTTGTCTACAGTTTTTCAGACTTACAATATATCTCTTACTCTTCCGTCTTAGTGTTCTAGTTAGACTCAGAAATTCTCTAGAAAATTTTCTACACGGAGTTACTATCACGGATTGCTCATAAGGGATCTTGAAAATTTCGGAATTTCCACTGACTACGTCAAGCGGTAAGTTTTTTAAATTCCACCGGTCTCTTTTCAAAAATAGGCACTGTCATCAATTCCTATTCATCCACTTTCTCATCACGCCTTCTAACATGCATTCACACACATATAAGTATTCGTAAATTATCATTTTAATATTAATAATCAAGACATTTTTATTTTTGTGTTTTTATCCAACTTCAAATATTGTAAAAGAGAAAATTAATCATGAACTGTTATTTTTAGTTCAGTTAATCTAGAACGAAATATTTCCTTTTTACTTAAATAAATACTTAAATGAATTCTTAGATTGTAAATTTAATGTCATTAGTTTTTGAGAGCGGTTCAATGTAGGAAACCTGTGGTCCAATTTACGTGACCAGTTGCTTAGAATGGACTGGTGTCAATAGTTTAGTTTTTTTATAGTTTTATTTTTATTAAATGCTAAAAGTACAAGCTCTTGCAGATAGAATGCACAGCGCCTTTCTTTCTTTCTATTTTAGAAAAATATAAGATTGGTTTGTTATCGCATTGCATTTTGCCGTGCATCAAATTAAGTGCTACAATCGTATATTTTGAATTTGTTTCATAATTTCCTTGTCAATAAAATGGATCTTAATACGTCGGTTTCCACATGCAATACCAGTACGAAAATAAATACTGAAAAAGTACTATACAACGATATGTTTCCTGTAAAAATCATTGGCAATGGCAATGACGATACGAATAAGAAATTCGAAAAGGCAAAATCAGGTTTTTTCGATTTTGAAACGGACATACTATGGTTCAATGTTCTGCAACTTGTTGTGTTGCATACCATTGGTATTTATGGTTTACTAACTTTCGACTACATGAAAAATCCGATGACTACACTGTGGAGTAAGTGTACCCATCTCAGAAATTTTAACATGTACATAGAAATCTAAGAAATTTTCAAGATTTTCAGAGCACTTTCTGCGTAATTCTAATATGACCTCTTTAAAATATTATCTTTAGTGTAAGATTAAAGTAATCGGGATTGGTGCTTCATCGGCAGAATAGTTTCTTTTCGCGCAGTGAAAAATATTAATGATAGTGCTGATACAAATCCGTTTCAGGTGAACTACAATTCACGTTAAAGTTCGAGATAGAAATCTATTATGTATAATAATAAAAAATGTTTAAAAAATCAGAATATACATTTAATAAAAAACATAATTTAAATATCATTAATATTTTTATATCTATTTTGATTTTTTAAATGTTTTCTGTATTATACACACGGAATACAAAATATTGAATGACATACTATCTTAAATTTTGTCACCAATTACAAGCCTACTTAAAATAAATTTTATAAATCGCGGAAATTATTATTGTTTGTAATTTTTGTGATTATTAAATTAATTTATAATTTATTGTAAGTATTTCACACAAACTTGTTAATGATATTTATCGATATCTAAATTATTTAAAATACTAAAAAATATCGTCGACACTAACTAGAGTGACAAATTAATTTAATTTTATTATTTTATGATAAAAAGCTGTAATATTTCCTTCACTAATTATTTCATTTGCATATTTTTATTTTATCAATAAATGAGACACCAAATATCAACAATAAAATAACAGGTATTCAAATGAGTGCGTTCAGTGGTTCCAAAAGTTACAAAATAATAATGAAAAAATAATTTCTTGCCAAAAATAATTATTGTTATAAAGTCTTGAAAATCTTCTAAAAATGTTAAAACTTTTTTAAATTCTACTTCTTAGATCTCTATGCACATTATTGTTATCAATAGACGTTTATAAAATATTAAAAAAATATATTTTTACACATTTTTAAGTAATCGGCATGTACATCATATCCAATTTTGGTGCGGCTGGTGGCGCACATCGATT